GTATTCGTTTGTTCTTCTTAATCTTGTTTTCTCTTCCTTGTTTTTTCACCTTTAAGTCCTTAATAACGGACATACTAGCACACATCAAAACAATGTTGTGATATATTTAATAGTGCCATTGTATCTACTTGTGAATTGCAAAAGAGTGGCCATGAGTTTGTTTGCCCTTTCTTCTCATAAGGCTCAACCCCTTGGAAACGGGCGGTTGTAGATCGGGACAGGCATAGATTTTGTATGGGTTTGATTTTGTTAAATTTATTTGGTTTACTATTTGACAAAACAGAGATTGTTGCTTTTGTGTGTGTTGATCTATGACTTTAGAGTCTACATGGAAGACGATTTCAAGCGGTTTTGAAAATTTTATGAAATAAAGAAAGTTTGAGTTTGAGTTTGAGTTTGAGTTTGCCAGATTCCTAAGTGGGTTTTAACAATTGAAGTGTGCGACGATAATCTTTACCCAAAATTAAGACCTAGCTGAAAATTATGCAGCCGCAATTCTGCACATCGTTTCTTTTTTTGTACTTGTCGAAACCCCCTCGGGCTGACACCCCACAGGGTTTTACAGGTCCTATCTTGTTCACCCGCGGCCACACTCAGAACAGCAAAGTGCGTCTCCCCGCTTGAATTGGGTCCGAGTGCAAGTTATCCTCCCTAGCTCTCGCCGCCGCCTCGTTCTAATGACGCAGTTAGGGCCAGACGCTGTGTCGCCTAGCATAGAAGGAAGTAGATATTTGAAACTTGATTATAAAATGTTTTCTATAAAACGTTTTATTGTAAAATGAGCACGAAATCGTCTTAAATATATATTAAACGAGAACGAAAAATATTTAATGCCACTCCATTACACGTGTAATAGCTGATCTAATTATTTAATATAGTCATCAATTAGTCAAGCTTATTGTAATTGGACCTAAAGTTTGATGGATTGGTAACGCATTTAAAAAAAATCACGATTATTAATCTAATCATCTTTTTATCGTCATCATCAACAGCCTTTAGTAGTCCACTGGCTGGACATAGGCATAAAACACTGGCTAGACATAATAAAAAAGGGTTTACTTGTAGTTTGCTGCCTTAGTCGGACTCTTAGGAATGAAAAGGGTTGGTATTCATAATTCGTCTCCACATGGACAATCATCTTTTAGTTTTAAAGGCAACTTTTACTAATCATCTACTAGTAAAATTTAACTCTCTCTTTTTCCGACAATTCATCCCACATTGTGGTGGGGTCAGCCCTCTTCGTAGACTTCTTCTACTACTTATTAAAAGTTAACTATGAAATCAGCATAGTATCTATTATGCTTTCATTTAAAGCTCTCCTCCTTTGAGTTATCAATAAAAAAAATGTTATATATGATGGCCGATGGGGCCAAATGGTTCTCGACTGGCGACCGTGTACTGGAGGACGAAGCCTGAGTAGACCCTCCACCTTTTGAAAGTCGCGGGCAGTCGTTGGATGCGAGCAGCGCAAGAAAGGTTGTTATGGCAAAACTTTTTGAAGGTCTATGTCCAGCAGTGGCCATCTTCCGCTAAGAAGAAAAAGATGTGTATATCAATATTCTTGTATATATCTATGTACTTGATTACTCTATTCTTCATATGACACTCTCGTATACTACTTATAAATGCTCTTAGTCTCACTCAGTTCTACCTACATCACCCTAAGGTAGACTGACAATCCTTTTAGTATTACAAGTAAGTCCGCCTTTGATCCATCAAAATGATGACCATAAGGATTTAATTTTTTTTTAAATAGTTAATGGGAAACGTACCTATGTCATTTAAGTTAATTTTGATCATTGTAAATGTTTTTTATTAATTTAAAATGTTCACTGTAGTTTTAGACTGGTTTACTTTAACATCCATAAGTCCTTTGGCAAATATAGTCAGAGTATTGCTACTAATACGAGTATCTATTTTGTGAGTTACTTCATCAAATTTATTATTTTTGTATGGTGTCCTCGTTCCTACTTATCATAGGTATTAAGACGGTTCATGAATCGAATTACCTGTCCTGAATTTATTGACATTGTTAAAGAGTGCACGTGGCTTCATAAATGATCAGGAGCGACTTATTATGGTTGATACATTATAAATTATAATTGCGTGTGTACCTCTGAACTTTTAAGGTAATTTATTACAATATTAACTTTGATAAGTCCCATTATGAGACCAACTGTTGAAGCAATACACTTCAATACCAGCTTTGAAAAGTTATATCATGAAGAACCTCTTGTTCATTGTGCCCTGTAGAAACGACATCAATGGAAACGATTACGCTTATAATTTTATATTCGAATGGATTTAAAATAAGAATATTTGAAACATTTAACGGTGATGTAATGTTTAGCTATAGATATTTGGAACTGTTCAAATTTTTGCATACAATTAAAATATCTTAACTACAGTTTTAAGCGGAAAACTGAATAAAGGCCTATTCAGTTTACCATAAATATTATTATTATGTTTTTTTCTTTATATAGCTTTCATTTATAACTAAACACATCTCACACACGGCTGTCTGATCCCAAATGAGACAGAACATGTGCTATGGTGATAAACATACTTATATACTACTAAATATATATAAATAATATATATAAAAAAAAGATATATATATATATAAATAATAAATAAAAAATATATATATATATGGGGTCTACCAATAAGATCGTCCTGGTTTAAAAATTGAATAAAACACACAATTCTTTGTGAAAAATGCATCCGATTGATTGATTGATGCATCCGATTGATTTATTTGATAGATAATTTTATGCAATTTATGTTTTAAATAATATATCGGCCAAATGACCGCCGCGGCTCTTTTTACAGACGGTCACCCGCTCACGCCAATTTTCGATGACGCGGGGCACCATTTCGGCCGGTATGTCGGCTATGGCTCGTCGAATGTTGGTTTTTAGGTCACGAATTGTAGCTGGATTATTGCTGTACACTTTAGATTTAACGTAACCACAAAGAAAATAGTCTAAAGGTGTTAAATCACACGATCTTGGTGGCCAACTGATCGGTCCATTTCTCGAAATTAACGACTCACCAAACTTTCCACGCAATAATTCCATGTTCACTCGAGTAATGTGAGGTGGTGCACCGTCTTGTTGAAAAAAAAAAGTCTGCATCAATATCATCAAATTTCGGAAAGAAATATTCGGTTAACATCGAGTTATAGTGCTCGCCATTCACAGTAACAGGGTTTCCTTCACCAATGATTTCACCGTACCATAAACAGCACCAAACTGTTATTTTTTGCGGATGCAATGGTGATTCATGAACCACTCGTGGATTTGACTCACTCCAATAGCGACAATTTTGTTTATTAACAAATCCATTGAGCCAGAAATGGGCCTCATCTGAGAAGATGATTTACGATGAAATCGTCATCGGCTTCCATCATTTCCAGTGCATAATCGGCAAATTCACGACGGATACAATGGTCGGATGGCTTCAATTCTTGTGCCAAAACAATTTTGTATGGGTGTAGGCCCAAATCCAACCGCAAAATACGCCAGGTGGTCATTGGAGAGAGCCCCCAACTCTTGTGAACGGCGTTGAACTGATCGATTTGAATTTCGCATCAACACTGGCCTGAACGGCTGCGATATTCTCTTCACTACGGGCATTTCTTTGTCTCACAGGCACATTATCTTGGAGAGTGAATTCACTTTCAAATTTCGTTATTATGCGATTTATAGCGCGCACAGAAGGAGCACTATGACGACGTTTTTTTTGCGCAAAGCGCTCTTACTGTAGCCTTAGGAGAACGCGAATTTGCGTAATAATTTTGGACAATTTCCAAGCGTTGGTTTAAAGTGAAACGTGACATGATAAAATGGCAAACCTTACTAAACACAAATGTCAAGAGACGTCAAAGATCCATCATCAAACATGGCCGCTATGAGTTGTCAAAACCAGGTCATCCCTATTGGTAGACCCAGTACATGTTATAGATAAATTACACTCAGACCTAGAGTAGATCATCACACAACATTGGTCCTGGGTTGGAATCGAACCACCACCACCACTACCACCATAACCACTAGACCAACAGGCCCGTTTATATACAAAGATTTTTTTAAATGTGATTCTGAACTCTTCTTACAACAATTATTCACTACATTAAAATAAAGAAACAGTCTAATTACAAAAATATTATTATTAATTTATATCCTAGTATTCTATCAGTCAAACTAGCTTTTACTTGGCGTTGTGTCAGATGTCCGAAAATATTATTGTTATTGTTGTTATAATGAATAAAAAGCTCACTATAATCGAAAAATTAAAGAATATTAATAGAAATAAATTCGTAACATTAACGTAACACGAAACAGACTTCATCAGGGCTACTGGCGACGGCGTGTTATCCTCGTTGAGCCGATTAAAACCACACAATCTACTTTCTGCATCGTAATTATATAATAGTGTATTCGTAATGTTCTCAATGGTCCGAATGCTAGCATATACGTGATACAGCCTATTACCATCTATTTTTTTAAATATCTACTGGCAACCGAAATTACAAGTATTCCCGTTAACCCCTCCCGCTAAGCTAAATTGCTTGTGTTAGGAGTGGGTTCACGTCGGTAGTGTACTGGTCAGTCAAGATTCGAAGCCACGACCTCTTGATTGCAAGTCTAATTTCTTAACCACTAGGCTACTGCCGTTTAAAATTATTTTGAGGGTTGCGTTGAGACACAGGCGGCCAGTCTTAGGGCGACACGAGGCGTCTGTTAACGCGTCTATGTAACCGACTGTTAGCAGTAAATTGGTTGCACCTGGGCTTTTCGCGAGACGACAACTTTGTAGAAATAGATTTGTGATGTACCAAAAGTAGAATATCTGTTTAAGTCAGATGATATGTTTTTCTATAATACATATGTTATACAAAAACATATTATCTGACATATTTACCTTTAATTATATAACAATTTATGCGAAATTTTAAGATTGAAAAAGTAAAACTAAATTTAATACAATTGTTTCAGAAAAAAATAACACAGAGCAAAAACTTTCCTACTTCCAAATTGTAAGTATCTGCATACATTTGTTTATTTAAAACTGAATTTAAACAACCTACAGGTAATTTCTTTTTCATAAGGAAGAATAGTAGTATTGTATAAAAGTCTTGAACTGTGAATGTAAAGCTCTTATAAAACTTTTATAGTGACTGATTATATAATAATAATAAAATATATAATAATTTAGTCACATATTATCCACAGTTTCGTTACGCAACATGTCTAGAAATCACTGCTACGTTTTTTGGTGTTATCTTCGGAATGCTAAGTGGTGGCGGCGTCTGCTACAACATGGTCCAAATTGGAGAGCTAAGCACAGCTTTTGTGGAAAGAACTACAAACCCAGAGCGCGCCAGCAGTTACTTGCCACTAACAGAGACCTTTGGAGGGGGAAGAAGACTGTAAGTAATATCAGTAATTGACAATAGTTCAAACAACTAATGTTTTCTTTGGTTCAGTTCTTATTATATTATTTTGTATTTATTGTCAAAATGGTCATAAATCCGATGCAATAATAATGATAAGTAATGTTCACCCTGCTTTTTCATGATTTCATTGATGAAATTTTTTAATCAAGCAGAATAATTAAAAAATAAAATACAAAATGATTAATCAGCAATGTTTCCTTTTGGCATGCAACATAATTATAATACGTGTATTATAAGCAAATATCAACAGAAATTATTATTTTTCGAAGCGCCAAATCACGTTCACGAGTAAGTTTTTAAGGCATTTTAGCAGTTCAGAGCATCAACTTACAATGAATAAATAATCAAATCAGCTATATGTAGATATATTTAAACAAATCAGCAAATTTTTTAGCGATCTATAATCGTTTTTTAGTTTCTGGTGATAGGTGAACTGATAAGTTTACCTATCACCACGGTTTAAGTAAGGTTTCATATATTTGTCCGTAATCTCTCTTACTTTTCATTTTTTTTTTTAATATTGGCATAAGTGTCGGTCTACCAACTCACCTGAAGGAAAGTGATGTTGAAAACGAAGATGACACTAGACATTTGTTATAAACCATATCATCAATTTTCATCTATTAACAAATTTAAGGTGGTCAGTCTCTCACCCAACCAGGGATTTGCGACGGGGTCATGTGTCGGAATCGGACCGACTAAAACCACACGGTGTGCCACTCTGCGCCTATAATCCGGGGACTACTGTTATTAGGACTTCCGGAACCCCTCCTAACGCCAGCCCGCAATGGCGCGGGCACTTCCTTTTCTATTTAGGCGATGTAGGGCACACACGGACGTCGTTCGTCTCCTCGCGATCTACGCGGAATACGCGCCAACACGCTGTCGGTGCACAATGCTAGCACAACGCAGAAGACCAGGACTCCGCCTAACTTACGCTGGAAGATTGCCCCGCTTGGTGAACGTGGTGAACGCGAGGTCCTGGTCGACCAAATCGGTTGAGACCTGTCCCCGCCAGCAATCATTGCCATGCTAGCGGGCTAGTGAGGAGGGCTGGGGCACAGTGGTCTCTTTCTGTGAAGCTGTAATGCTCCAGAAAGAGACCACTGAACGGGATCAGGAGAGGGCCCGATCGGTGGGCGGCGACATCAGCCGGACCCGCAGGCTGCCAGAGAGTGGGGACCTCTGGTGGTAGATTGATTACTGCGGTAAAGGGCATGGTGGCGGCCTGATTGCACCAAAATATGATTTAGTGATAGTCCAGTCCATCCGGGGGGACCTGAAATTACATGGTCCGGGTCCTCCCTAGAGTAGGGCGCCTGAACGGGCCGTCGTCGTGCTTTTTACTGGACACACCGCATACTCTTGGCTTTACAATTCTTTCCATCTGTTCGCGAACGGTTGTCGAGGACATGGCTTGAGGTGGATCACTGTGTCGCTCAATTTCCTACGGGTCATGGTAACTTTAAGAGCAAGCTGTATTTATTTAAATTAGTCGAGTCACCATTGTGTCAATGCCTCAACACCTAACTCTCACTATGAACAGTCTGCTCATCATATCCTCTGGGAATGTAGTCGTTGGTATAATGAACGTAATATAATGCTGAATAGCTTGCAGGTGACATCTGGGGCGGTATACTATGGGGATCTTGTGTCAACTAGGGTGAATTGCCGTGCGTTTAGGCGATTCTGGCTATACATATTATAGAAATCAAATATAGCTCACCTAGGACCCGTAATATTTTGTGGCCTGTGTGTACTTCCCTGTTTAAAAGGGTGTATGCCTATTTTTCTTAATTTTGTCTCCCGCTTTCCTAAAGAGGGAAGTGGATTTACTGTATTTCCAACTCCTCAAATTTTCTTCTGATTAATTTCGTTGCGGGTTCCAAGACAGTTTAATTTCTTCCTGGGACTTCCCGAGTGTCATAACTCGGTGTGTTCGTGGGTCACTGCTGTGGATCCTGGTGTACAGGAGTTACACTGGTGGAAGTGTGGGTGGGATTAGTCCCTATACTCTTGGCTCCTGTGTCTCCTAGAAGCCGGAGATCTTTTTGAGATTTAATTCAATAGCGTTAAACAGGAGACGAGCGGCGGTGAGAGATAGCAGAAAGTTTATAACAGAAATGTTAGTCTCGGATACTTAACAAACGGTGGATTATCTGCATTATTGAGACAAATCATTCTAATAACTGTAGAAGTGTGTAAGTCCCATAGCCTCCACTTTTACCTAGCATTTACATGAATAATAATATACGTATGTACTGAGCGGTGTGTATTTAGCTATGAAATATCGTACCATACAATTTAGTTAAAGTCAAAATATTTATTATTGCCTCATTGGTGCGCGTGTGTTTCAAAATAAAAATTGCACCTATTCATTATTTATGTTACTTTTTAACACGCTTTTATTAGCTTGGCATGTCTGTATGTATCTATGTATGTAACGGAATCTTCAAACTTGATATAGGTGTAACAAACGTTTGCGAAATAATCAAACTATAATACCAAAATCAGTGTGATGAATTCTTCATGCCACTACTTGCTAAAAAGTTTTAATTGCTATGATGTTAGTTACCTAATTTGAGGTTGTGGCCGCCTACTAGCAATGAACTCACATTATGATCATCTTGAAAAATTGGTTTCACAGCTGTACTAATTTTACTAAATTTTGTTTTTTATTAAGTGTGAACGCAACGTATGAAGAAAACATGTTGGCTTTGAAAGAAGATGCAAAAGCGATGGCCATCGGTCTCTTCCTAAGCATAGCCATCTCGCTCATATTCTGCATGCTGTCAGTGGGGTTAATCAGCTGGAGTGCATTGCGGCAGGTACATAATTTAATTCTCATACAGTAAGTTTTGTTCTTTTACTTGGTAATGGTAATTAATTGGTAATTTATTAATTATTATTGAATAATTCGTGGGTAATTTTGGTGCGAAAAAGTGTTTTTGTTTTTATAAAATATGTAGACAGCATATGTAATTATGTTGGTATGTTAATGTAATAAGTACTTGTTACATGAGTACGATCATGTAGGATATTGCATAAAACACTAAAATTACCTTGACCTTATTGATGTCTTACCAGCTGATTTTATAGTCACGTACAGAGAGGCGCAGGCCTAGTGTGATTTTACTTCACACTAGCTGACCCGCGCAACTGCGTCTCTTAAAAATAATACATTTTCCTCCGTTTACGCAACATTTTTCATTGATGCTTTGCTCGTATTGGTCGTAGCGTGATGTTATAGACTACATCCTGCCTCGATAAATGGGCTATCTAAAAGTGAAACATTTTTTCAAATCGGATCAGTAGTTCCTGAGATTATCGCGTTCAACCAAACAAACAAACTCAGCTTTATAATATTAAGTATAGATCTATTCGATCGTCACGGTGACCGCGTTCGGCGTTGCGACGATGATGTAATATAAATGCAATTTATATTGTTTGCGTTGCATTTTGTATATTGGACCAATAAAATAACGAATTATTTTATTAATTATCATTGTTTTACCTGATAAAGATATAAATATTGTTAGTTGGCGTTTCTACTGAATGCACATGGAGTACTTTCAAAATAATTATATTGTTTGCACTTTTTGAGGTGAATAGACGTAGAACGTAGAAATACAAGTGCTAAGCAAGGTTCAATGAAATAATTTAAGTCAAAGTTTCTCCTCGATTGTTTTTTGTGTCCATTACATGTGCGTTTGTAAAGTACCTCGCGACACAGGATATATTCCGAATGGGGGGAGTTGTCTTTTAGAAAAAAATTCAAGCTATTTATATTTCTTATGTTTTTACTCCTAGCCTAACTCAAGCAAAAACATAAGAAATATAAATAGCTTGAATTTTTTTCTAAAAGACAAACAAAGGAGAACATTGTGTGTAATAATATGTATGTTAAATATGCCAACTAACGCAATATTATTAGAGGTTTAATAAAAATGTATTAATGTTTGGTGACAGTTTCGAATGTTTCTTGTTTAATTGCACATATGAATTGCGGATTGCAGGAATATGTTTGACCATACGTAGGTCACTATTTAAGTTTTGAGATGCCTGTGTGGAACAGTTCCGTGAGATGCTAAAAATGAGATGAGTAAAAAAAAAAAAATGCGTCTACGTTTTGAAAATGGGAGGTCAAAACATGTTTCTGAAATCACTACTGTGCAGGAGAAACGATCAAAGACCGGGTTTCGGGAAACTCTGCTGCACCACCACAATGCGTCTTTACTCTCTTCCCTCAGAACAAAGGCGTTTATTCAAGAATTGGGTATTGACACCCTACCTCACCCACTCACTGCCCCGACTTAGCTAATTGTGACTTCTTTTATTCCCTACTATAAAAAGATACGATTAAATGGCAAGTTTTTTTCCAATTACCGAAGAAGCAGTGGCTACCCACAATTCAGACGGGCCTTTTATTTTAGTGGTTAGTGACCCTGACTGCTGAACCAGAGCTAGTGGGTTCGATTCCCACTCAGGACAAATATTGTGTGATGAGAACGGACATTTGTTCTGTGTCTGGGTGTAATTTATCTATATTATGTACGTATTTAAAAATATATAAGTATGTTTATCAGCAGTCTGGTTACCATAGTACAGGATCTGCCTAATTTGGGATCAGACGGCCGTGTATGAGATGGTGAGATAAAAAGAAAGTTGAAGCTTTGTACATAACTATTTTTGATTGTATTGTTATAACACTTTTAATTATGTTAGAGCATTACCTAATATACTCGTATATAGATACTTGACTGCACGGATGGCGTCGTGGTTTTAAGCAGTCACTCGCCGCTTTCAACTGAATGTTGTGGATACGATCTCCACATGGGACAACACTGTGTGATACACAAATTGTTGTTTTGAGTCCGGGTGTTCTTTATGTTCGTTTCGTGTATGCCTGTAAAGAAGATATTCTTAGTGCGGGAGCTTTCTTTTTGAAAAGATAAATATAAGACATATTATATATATCTATTATATCAAGTAAACTTTGTGTAATGGTTGAACAAACTCGGGAGTAGGGAGTTAAGAAGTCTAATTTGAGAGGTGAACATAGCTACATGGAAAGGCTAGCGCACAGATCGGACCTCAATCCATCAAGCATGCCTGGCACGAGATCGAAGGCTCATCAACAGCCTTTAATAGTCCACTGCTAGAGATAGGCCTCTCCTTAGAAAGGAGGCTTTGACCTACTATATCACGCTGGCCAGACGGGTTGGTATAGGGTGTGTGTCAAGTTTTCCTTCTCTTTGCAGTGCTGTTGTCCTGCGTAGTTTGCTCCCTTAGTCGGCTCTTACGACACCCACGGGATGAATAGGGGTGGTGACACTCCGTATTCTTAATCCGTCACCACACGGACTATGAACACACACCACACGGACGTTCGAAGGATCAGTGAGACAAAAAACAATAGCACATCATGCCGAGATACTAAAATTTGAGTAACTCAAAGTACCTACTGAAACTAGAGAAACAACAAAAATACTGTATCAGAATGTGAATTACAATTACAGTGTATGATGGTAACTTGTATAAATATTTGGAGAACCATATGGATACTAACGTACAAGTCTCAATTTTGAGATCAGCTTATTTCCTTTATGATAATACTACACAACCATCATAGCATGTACATGTGTATAGTTTTATGTACATTTAACGTTTTACAGACTCTTAAAAACAAAAATACTAATGATTATTATTTCTTCATATTCTTTATTGTACACACAAAAAAAACACATCATAGAAATCACACATCAAGGAAAAATACATACATATATTCGTGCAAAGGATAGCTCAACTCATTGTTAGAAGTGGATAGCATAGAAAAATTGAGATTGAGTCATGTCCACGTTAAAGTCAATAAAAAGAAAGAACTCATATTACTGAGAAACTTATACAGTGGCACACCTACGTGTATGCGATAATAATACTTAAGTAAGGACAATACATACATATATTAGCATAATACATGTGCAATATAAATAATGAATAATACATCTACATATATGTATATTACAATCGACACAATAGTCTGATTACTTAGTATTGAGATAAAAAAGTAGGGCTATCACACATTCTGCGGTACCGTAGAGACAGTAAAGCAGTGGTACCTAATCGTGGATAGCTTTATGAGAAGGAAGTTGTAGAGCGATAAAGGTTGCTTTCAGGAACTAAATACACGAATTTCTTTTTTTTTTTATGTTAGAGGGGCAGCCGAGCAGACGGGCCACCTGATGGAAAGTGACCATCGCCGCCCATGAACGTCTGCAACTAAGGAGTCACAAACGCGTTGAAGGCCTTTTAGGAAGGAGTACGCTCTTTTCTTGAAGGTTTGAAGGTCGTATCGGTCGGGAAATACCGCAGACGATAACCCGTTCCACAGATTGGTTGTGCGGGGCAAAAATTTTCGTAGTGGAGCGCCAACTATCCAGGTAATAAGGATGAAAATTTTGACGTGTGGAACGATGGCGCAAATTAGCGGAAATATAAAGGAAAATTGGTATACTGAAGAGCCGAATAGGCATAAGGCGGGTAGTTCACTTTTAGCAGGAACTTTAATCAAGTTTTATGTGCGACTTTTACTGAAGGGTTGTATATGTAAAGATTGAAAAAAAAAACACAAAACTTACAATCGGGGTATATTTTTAAACTATCTACAGATTGAATTGTTGTGATAAAATTGACCAATCGGATAAAGACTAGAATAAGTAATGTGCCTTACAGATTAATGACACTGTTCCTGGACAAGAGACATTGAAAATAAAAAAAATATCAAAAACTGCCTTATACAAGAACAACATATCTACGACACGTTTGCGTCACTACATTACATGCTTTAATCATATTTATATGGGACACAACGTCAAAGACAATCGATCACTTGTTGGATCCAATATTCTCCATGGCCTTTTTTTTTTGGTGATGGGATGGAAAATCCCTTCAGACCTCCGGCTTACAGGGGACGCAATTTGAGTATGTGGTATTTCCGCTAAAAATCACTCCAACGGCCGGTGTTCAGGCGTCCAGCTCTGGGATTACCCAGATGTAATTTCAGGTCCCCGCCGGAGGACAACAGCACTGCACAGGCAAGGAAAACTTGACACAAACCCTATACCAACCCGTCTGGCCAGTGTGGTATAGTAGGTCAAAACCGCCTTTCTCAGGAGAGAGCTATGTCCAGCAGTGGACTGTTATAGGTTATTATTGATGAGGTCAAGTGCCACTGAACTGTCAACGCTTGTCATCAAATAAAACGTTGATACAACGATTCTATTGTTACCTATAGGTAATCATTCGGTGCAACTGTCTGAATAATTCCTATGAACGACATTATGATAAGTAGCTGTATACAAAATAGTAACATATCACGCTTCAATATAATATTACACCATAACATTACAATTGCACAGGCTATTGTTAGCTTAGCTTAGATAAAGATTTCTTTTACGATTTCATTATAAATGTTATTCTGGTTATAAATATTAAAATTTAGTATTGTTTTCTAATTATAAAACAATATTAAGACAAGAGGTGCAGGCACTGGATATTTGTAGTACATGTACAAGTAACTTTAAATAATGTTATGGACCCGTGGGTTTGTTCAGATAAAAGGAATGTGAGTATTCATTATACTGGATGATAACATAAGTGCTCGTACTTCCATTATAAAATTCGGCAACAAATAATATAAATTACTAATAAAATTACAAATATTCAAATATTTACAGTTTATTTCAAGAAACAAATACCATTGCCAACAAAAACCGAAAGGAAAATGAAGAATCACAAAAAAGCGTTAATTCCATTTGAGTTTAAATTTATGGTTGACAAACTAAAATAACCGAACGTACTAATCGGGTTACATCGGCTGTTCTATCGTTATCAATTATGAACGCTGACTCAATAGATAGCAACGATGAAAGTGCAAAAAATCTGACTACAGTGTTTGTATTCATGAACATGAAACTAGTTGATTATGAGATGCACCTAACGATGCATCTTATTATCTTTTTCATTTTTATATTTTTTGATCCGATTAGTCTTGATTGTGAATGTCAGTAGGCAAGGTTTCATTTGCCTCGAAAACTACCTCTTAGATGATTTGGAGAAACATTTCTCTAAACACATTGCGACATTGAGAGTTGGATCTGTTTCATTGGACGCTTGAGATTTACTTGTTTATGTATTTACTAGCTTTTGCCCGCGACTTAGTTTCCGTAGAAGTTAAAATTATTTGCAAAATCTACTTAGATTTTGACTCCTTAATGTAAGTACATTGAGTACGTGTACAAGCACGTGTTTTGGAACTTCAGAACCTTAGATAAAAGTATTGGGTGTTATAATCTTAAAATATAGGTAACTATAATTTAGTAGTACTTTAGGACAAATTTGATTACCATAAAAAACAATAAAAAGTTAACCAACTTTGCAAGATAGACATAATCTGTCGTGGACATTTTTTAGATCTCTTAAATTGGAACAATTCTATCATACATGATTTTTGCCAAACTTTAACCGTTTAAAGCGCACGCAACGCAAAACTTTGCCCCGTTCCTGGCGGATAACTTATGTATTGCGAGTGCTCATTGGTCAATTTGCAGAAAGTTTTTATTTTGCGTGTAACATATACATACGTAAAAGAACAACCGCTAACAATACGCAATGTAAACAAGTGTTATACAGTTCAGTTTAGTTGATCAGGTTTGAAAAAAGCGATGTGCAAGACCGTTTATCAAACATGCTGAATTGTAGTATAACTAATTTGAATGTAATAGTTTTATTTAGGTCCAAACTTAAATAGGTATTATTATAATAAGTATAGTTCCTGTGAAATCAAAATTTTCATCCTCATTACCTGGATAGTTGGCGCTCCACTACTGTGCGCTTTTCGAGACACTTTTTGCCCCGCACAACGAACCTGTGGAACGGGTTATCGTCTGCGGTATTTCCGGACCGATACGACCTTCAAACCTTCAAGAAAAGAGCGTACTCCTTCCTAAAAGGCCGGCAACGCGTTTGTGACTCCTGAGTTGCAGACGTTCATGGGCGGCGATAGTCACTTTCCAATCAGGTGACCCGTCTGCTCGTGTGCCCCCTCTAACATAAAAAAAAATCAATTTATACTAGAAGGATTAAAATCTGTAGTTTTTCTTAATTTTAAGAAGAGGGATTTATTTCATATTGAATACTTTCACGACTATACGAGTATTATGCCGACTTGTCACACAAAGGTTGTCTTTATGTAGTTATCTTTATCGTCTAACGATATGACAACAGTGCGTATTCTAGAATTATTAGAATCAATTTAATAGTTACATAAGATCGCATACTGATCCATTGAAGTTGAAGTGAAGACATACGAGTATTCATCATTCACTAATTATAACAGCTGATGGACAAGAAGAATTAGCGGCCAAAACCTGTTTTTTTTTATACTATCAGGAATTGATTGCACCGTACTCCAGTTGACGTAGCCCTGAATTTTCAAAAAAAAATTGACCAAGGGCGCTTTTATAATACTATATGTATTTGAGGACGCTGATTGCAGGAAAAAAAAACGAACAAATAAAAATAATTGATTGGTCAATGTTAAAATTGTATTTATACGTTTATTTCTCTCAACCCCGTTTTTGTTTAATCTGAGGTAGTATTACAAAAATTTAGCAATTAAACATTATATCACTTATCAATAAGCACACAAACTCAAGAATAATTGAGAATGATCAAGAGAAAGAAAAAATAAATAAATGAAGATGTAGAATAGGAAGGAATTTTTACTATTTTTTAACATATTTTTTTTACACTTTAGCTGTAAATTTTTTGTTATAATTTTTATTGCCATCAATTCCTGATAGTTATAGTGATAGTTGAATCTTTAAAAAATGAAATTCCGCTCCAATAGGAATTTTCCGGATCAAAAAGCTATTTCTACCTGTCTATGAGCTAAATTTAAATACTTATAATATTATATTTGTTTTAAAAACAAATGAGAAGCTTTAAAGCAATCTTAAACGAAACCAATTGTTTTAAATTAAAGACCTTACTGCTTATTGACCCTCTGAGCTTTGCGTTGCGAGGGCAAACAAAATAATGCTTCTTTACTGATAAAATGAATATGACCTTGTATTTTACAATAGCATGTCTTAATATGTGTACGTGTTCAATTTTTTTATATTAATCATATGCACACTGATTTCATCGGTCGGTTGATAACACGTTATTGCAGGCAGATCTAAGGAAAATCTGTGAGTTGTTCGCCTTGACAGTGTTTTTTGGCAGAAGAGAATCTATACATACTTATTTTGCATGAAACAAAGGCCTCAGGGAAGTGCGATCTGAATATGAGTGATGTTTAACGATTGACAGCTACTTACTTCTTATCGTTCCTTTGTCCTCAAATCGTGTCAGGTTTACATTTAGGGTCATTCAAAAATTGGCAGTTGTTAAAAAATAAATATAGCAGGGTTAACATATGATAAAACCGGTCAGGTACGAGTCGAACTCGTGCGCCGAGGGTTCTGTACCTGCACCAGGTATTGCTTTATTTGTGCTGTAAGACGTTTCTTTTTGACAAATTTCGTGATTCTAGGTCAACGGGAACTACCATATAGGTTTCCGACCCAAAACCTTTAGGGTACTTCCGGTTGACCTAGAATTGTCAATTTGCCCATATCTTTTTATCGTGTTGACTCAGGACCTTGATTTTTATACACCTAATAGGGACTATAGACCTTAGTATCTGATATAAATTTCAGCTTGCTAGGTTTACCCGTGCCTGGGAAAATCGGTAGTGGCAGACGGACAGAAGGACAAAAAAGTGATCATATAAGGGTTCCTTTTTTACCTTTTGAGGTACGGAACCCTAAAAATCAATAAAATAATGCTGTTTAAATTGTAAAACTACATTAAAGACTTATACATACTCGTATATGACGGGGTCTGTACAAACTAGCATGCCTACAGAAATAGTCAAACTTATAAAATTGTTATGGTATTCAAGACACAGTAGAAAATATGACCAATAAACTAGCTATCAAGTTATCTCCTCCTGTCTTTTAATAGATTCATAAAAAAGGTTTACACAACGATTCTGTACTGGGAATAGTTATGTTATCTATAACATAACTATTCTAATCAGTCACCGAAATTGAATCTACCATTTGAAAATCTAAAAAGTGGTGAGTTAACTAGTAACTCGGAATAGAAGGAGCCTACACAAAAAAGATAATCTTCAAGAAATTGTCTTAAGCCGCGAGAGACAAAAAGAATCCCACTCTACAATCATATGCTTATCAATTTGGCAGCTACTAATATCCTGTATTTATGTCTCACCTTTTTATTTGGCTGCCGAATATTTTAGTTTAATTTACTTATCCACGGATTTACTTTAAGTTACGCTTCATTCTATTGTTTATTGTAACAAATAACATAATCGAGTAATCTGTGTATTTAGTCTTTGTTGGATTTGTAGTATTGTACTTAAGAAATCTAATTATGCAGCCGTTATTCATTACCCAAAGAAATAATGACGAAAAATTAAAAAGATGCTTGTGCATGATTATGGAAAAAAAATCAGGCACAATGTTGGTACAGTAACCGGTTCTTGATTGCCTATTATGCGACATTCACACTTTTTGTTATTAGCATTTACCCATTCCTTTATATATACTATATGTATTCTATATGTATTCCCCACTGATATATTAATGTCACTGTCTTATGTTAGATAACTCGGATACGAATGCTGTTCCTGAAGGCTGTGCTGCGTCAAGATATGTCCTGGTTCGATACTGATTCAGAATTCAACTTGGCTTCCAAAATGTCAGAGTAAGTTTCAACGGTTTACTGTCTTAATTTAATAGTCATATACATGTATATTTCAATTTAATAAAAACATAGATTAATAACAATAATATGTAATAAGATACACCCACTTACGGTTGTCCTAAACCATATTGAGCCTACACTGTGTATAGCAGACCGACGATAAAAAAAAACAATGTTTTACAACGTCTATCATAATTATTAGCATTATTTACGCTTTTGTTTTGTGTTCTATTAATTTCAGAAATTTAATGAGCCTAAAGGAAGGTATGGGTGAAAAGCTTGCGGTGGTGTCTAACCTGGTCGGAACCTGTATAATTTGCTTAGCTACGGCTTTTCCGATAGGATGGGAGCTTACGCTTGCTTGTGTATCGATTATGCCTCTGTCTTTGGCAGCGTCTATCATTTTATCCAATGTAAGTATATATTTTTGAATGAAAAAATGAAAATCAGGCAAGCATAGATGTTTTTTTTCTAAGATTTTTTGTTGTCAAATTCTAAAGATGACTCAAGATAAACAGTAATACTCATAAAACTTATGGAATTTATGACTAATTTAATTTATATAAACTTTTACAAATTATAACGACTTTCTTCTAGTACCACAGTCTTCTAGTAGAAATTTGGAGCTACAATGTTTGAGAATTTAGTATTCTCAAAAATCGTTGTTCCGAATTTCTATAAAAACTACCCTAAATAGCTAACTAAGTAAATAACTAAGTAAAACTTGCTGTAGCTCATTATTAAAAATAAAATTTTAAAAATAGTTTTGAAATTATAATGCAATAATTATATTTAGGGGCTACATTTTTTTATAATTACTTAGCCCTCGTATTTCATTAACAGCATTTTGAATTTTGGATGTGCGGTAACTTAGGTGTGGTTTTAAGGTAGACTACATTATATTACAGAATAATATTAACTTTAAATACACATACATACTCACCATTTCAGAATGATACCAAATTTGTTGTTACTGAAATGTCAAAATTGATCTCAAAAGCTATGTGCTAAATAGTATGTGGTTATGTATGTTATTATTGAAATTGGTATTTTATGTGTTTCAGTACCAAACCAAATCATCAATGTTGGAAATGGAGTCCTACAGTCAAGCTGGCAAACAAGCCGAAGAAGTACTAAAGTCGATCCGAACAATTGTAGCATTCAATGGAGAGAGCAAAGAAGTTGACAAGTAGGTTCTGTTATCTCTATGTTAAACACGAAGTCTTTTTTACCGCTTTTAAAAAAATTATGTCTCACTCAAGCGTATAAGAGTAATGTTTTAAGAAGTACGGAAAGGTTAAGCTCTTATACAATTTGTGGTATTAAATGAAATTATGCAAGAATATCTAAATGAAACCAAAGGCTTAAATTATATTTTGAGCTGTATACTGGCCTGTCATTGTACAAAAGTTTATAGAATGACGGTTTAAGTTATACTGGTCAAGCATTAAAAAAAAGAAACAATTAAGCCTCAGGGAAAATCTATAGGTTTTACCTATAGGCTATAATAGGTTATGTACAGCAGTGGACTACTAAAGGCTGTTGATGTGAAGCCTTAGGTCGTGGGTTCGATTCCTATCCAGGACAAATATTGTGTGATGAGCACCGTCATTTGTTCTGTGTTTGGCTGTAATTTATCTATAATATGTATGTATTTAAAAATATATCAGTATGTTTGTCAGCGGTCTGGTCACCATTGCACAGGTACAAGCTCTTTAAGTGAGATGTGTGAGATATATTATTATTATTACCACGACCACCAGGCTATCACTAGTACAACATAAATATTTCATGTAAATATAAATATCGAGCATACAACGCTACTTCATCTGTATCTCTCAAAAAGAATAAACTTTCACCGATTTTACAACATTTTTCATTGGTTCTCTGCTAGGTCGTAAACTAAAAATACAATTTGTAGTAAAACCGAGTGGTGAACCTAAACCATTCTCGAATCCACTGACACATACAAAAAAAATAATCAAAATCGGTCCAGCCGTTTAGGAGGCGTTCAGCCATTTACACGCGACACAAGAATTCTATGTATAAAGATAAATCAATGAGAAAATACCCTGAATTACTAAGTATACGATAAATATTATTAAAGCTAAATCTGTTAGAGTGATGGCACTTAAATTACTTTTATAAATTCAGATATAGTCGAGACCGCTAAATATCGAGACTTCAACAAATACATCATATAAAACAATTACTTAGTGATCTATGAAATCACTTCTTCTATAATAAATATTGCTGTAAAAAAAACTATTTACTTCTACCAGTTGATTTAAAACTTAAAAAGTCATAAAAGTTTGAAAATAATAATAATTATATTAAATGTATTTGAATTATTTATATTTGAAGCATATGAGAACTGTTAACCTACTTATTTAAACGATAGCAAATTACCACATTTTCGGCATTAAGACATAGAATAAAACCAGTCAGTTCATACAAACAAAATGTGATCAGCTAGCCAATCCTCGTAATAAAGAATTCGATCAAAATTCAGTTCCGATCTACTCTCGATCTCACAAATGTCATAAAAGGTATTCTCATAGTAATGTATTAAATATTGAATGTTGACTGTACTGTTATTATATCGTACTGTGACCGAAATTTGAAAAAAGTTAATCGGAATTCTGTTGGTCCTGTAAGTGAACTTTAATGGGAGTGAAACGTACATAATTCGTATATCTTTCTGTGTACATCAAGTTTGCTATTTCTATGAGATGGAATGTTGATCAACAGTAGACTGCCGAAAAGCATTTTATTAGCAGAAAACCTAATTTCAGTTAATTAGTTTCAATGCAATCAGTTTTCGTTCTGTGATGGTTTAAGTATTGGCCTCCAGGATCAAGACACCCGTAAATCTAAACAAACAAAACCAGTTTCTACTTCCTTCTACGCACATTTTCCTGTTCGACTAGGGCACACAGTAATTGATTAATGCTATTAAAAATGCTAGGTAAGTTAAACAGGTTGCGACTATGACGTTTTGTATACAATATATTAAGTGTGATATATATATTGTAAAGAGTAAACAGTGTTTTTTAGAAAAAACGCAATTAAACCAATAGTTATTTAATCTGTTTATGTTATTGCATCTTTTCAGTTACTTCAATCTAATCTGTTCTTTTCACTACGGCATTTCAAACCTAAGCTATGAAGTTACAAGTTCATCGCAGCCCCCCTTTTTGTCTAGTCCATTGTTTAGTCGGCTGCCGCGCACCGATATCTAAGTTCGATAGTCATGCGTCGTTTTTAGCTGCAGACAATACGGAATAGAAAATATTGCTAAGCTGAAATGAAGTTAAAAGCGTATTCTTATCTGAATTTGTCCCTACTTATATAATCTCCCCACAAGAAAAAAAACTAGAAGTGCTTGTGTTTTAGTTGTTTTATTTTATTATTTATATCTTTGATTATAACTTTCTTTTGAAATTTGTAAATGTGTTACAACTTTCATGGGGCTACGATACCTGAATAAGCAAATTATTATTATTATTATAGATGCAGGTACACCTCCGTATAATTTATCCATAATGTGTATGTATTTAGAAATATAGAAGTATGATTATCAGCAATCTGCCTACCATTGCACGGTCTTGGTCTAATTTGGGATGAGACGGCCGTCTATCAGATGCGTCAAGTGTATTACTATTAAATAAAATAATAAACGACAACAGTTTGTTAGAAGACGTAAAAAGTTACCCGATGGAAATAAGGCAACTACGAGGTAACTTAACTGTAGGTGACTAGCGCGCTATGCAATCTAAATCGCACTCTGTTGTGTAAGAGCAAGAGTCGCTACTTATTTACATATGTTCTAATATGATACTATTATCTATCGGTGGTATGGTACATGTTTTTATCTGCGATTCATAGCAAATTCGCGTGGAATAAATAGACATGAATGTAAAACCGGTTGTCTATCTGTTGACGAGTTGAGTAATTTCAATAACAATGTTCATTTCATATCGCACTGTATCAGTGAAAATGCTATGTAAAAATTACAATTAAAATATGTGTAACATAACAATGTGTCCCTTTTTGCAAGGAAAGAGGAAACGTTTTTATTTTTTTATAAATTGCAAGTATCAGTCACTGCTAGAACATATACACATCCCTTCTTTATATAAAAACACTTGAATTGTTTTACAGTAAAATAACTGTTAAAATTAAAAATAATTAAAAATATTGGTATTTATTAAGTGTAGTAATGTATTGTAAGTTGCTATAAAAATCATCATTTATTTTAGGTATAAACCCATAGACAAAATTACAAAACTATAAAAATTACACAATTACAAAATCATAATGCTACAAAATACAATAAAAGAATAAAATTAACAATAACTACAATAAAATATATTACGTCATTCATCGTTACAAATCTCAAATGCTGTATCGACAACTGAGGCCAGCACCCCCACCCTCGCTCCCCACACCAGTGATCGACCTCTCGGGACGCGACCCCCGTCACCCTCTTTTTGGCTACCCTGGCTTTGGGGAGTTGGCCTCCGCCGCAAACGCCTCTTCGGCTTGTGCCGACTTTGGAAGCCGTGGCTTCATCGCTCGAGGCCGACTCCAATTGCCTCTTCAGGCCCAGGCGAAGCGACCGCCTTTTGCGCTTTGGAGTACCCTTCTGGTGCTGCTTCGCAGCTGAGACCATAGGGGTACTCGCTCCGCTCATCTCCGAGGCAGTGTCGGTGTTCGACACTACCTCCAGGTTTTTCGCGTCCTCCGCCGGGGGCGCCTTCGGCACTGGACTCCCTCCAGCGACTCAGCCCCTTGCCAGGCGTCAGAACGTGGGCTTAGGGCATTTTTATAGAGGTTAACGTCCTCGCGGATCCGAAGATCCACCGGTCCTGTCCATTCAGGATTACGGCTGGGCCGGACGGGGTCTGCACCAGACCGGGTCCGTCCGCCCCAGGATTTTTTATAGTGTTTGCCTTCCTCGTAGCCCTCGAAGAGCCGTCATTCCTGACTGTTGCCAGTCAGGGTTACGACATGGCCGGACGGTGGTCTGCGTCAGACCAGTGTCCCCCACCTCTGGACAGAGCCAGCGATACACCTCCTCTGCTTCTCAATGTCATCATCGTCCCTAAGGTTATCCCTTATTAAGTGCCCTAGTTCTAATTAGAAAGAGGTTAAGGTTTTTAGCTTCTGTCGTGTCTAAACATTATAACCTCCGTTTTGCCAGCATTATAGGTCAGTCCATGACCTATAATGCTACTACCTATATACACATCTACTCGATTTTATAACATTTTTTTTTAAATACAAACAGATACGGCCGTTTACTTCAGCCTGCGGAAAGACAGGGTCGGAAACGTGGCATTTTCTCCGGCTTAGGTAATGGATTTAACTGGATCCTCACATATTCCCTAAACGCTATAGGTTTAACTTATGGCACAAGGTTAGCGCTCTTGGATTTCGATAAGGAGCCTGATGATCGCAAATATTTAGTTGGTACCGTATTTAGTGTGAGTATTCTGTATAAATTGTTTTTGTTCGTCAGCTCTGCTGTGTAGGTGTCGTAAAATAAACATATTAATTTTGCAGGTACTGTTTAGTGCATATATGGCTACGCAATCCATTACATTTTGTGTGCCACATGCGGAAGTTTTCGCTGCAGCTCGAGGAGCCGCCGCTAGTATATTCCAATTATTGGACAGGGATCCCAAAATTGATAGTCTACACACTACAGGGCTATCGCCAAGAAGAGTCATAGGCGAAATAAGCCTTGAAGATATACATTTTAACTATCCATCAAGGCCTGAAGTAAAGGTGAGGAAAACATTAACAAAAGAATTTTGTTTCCGACTGGAAATGATGTAAAATGTTCTCCTCGTGCAGGTCCTCAACGGATTTTCTCTTCACGTCAAATCTGGAGAATCTGTTGCGTTAGTTGGCGCTTCTGGTTGCGGCAAATCAACGATACTTCAGCTACTCCAGAGACTATATGATCCAATTTCAGGATATGTAAAATTAGATGGAAAGGATGTTAAAAATCTGAATTTAAGTTGGTTGCGTTCGTGTTTAGGTGTGTATTTTAAAAATGGCTACTTATACTAAATTATTAAATATAAGCTTTATACGTGAGATAATATCCGTCTATCTATTAGTATTGTGCACGTAATTTTTATAGATCTTCATTTAACAACTATGACGTACTATAACGTTATTTAAAAAAATATCGTGTATGCAGATTCTTTGCATCAGGTTTTATTGAATGCGTCTATTATCCAAATTGCATCCGATAATATAAGAAACATTTTTTCTACAGCAACAAGTTTTGAGGTCTATTTAGTGCGGTTACCATGAAATGGCAAATTAATTCAGTGGCCATATCAGCATTATACATATTTAGGTATTTCTTATAAATAAAAATTCTAAATAGAATGACTTGACCATCGTATGAATCACATAAGAGTAATCAAGTATTTACTACTAAATTATTTTTACAAATATATCGCTTCATTAATAAAACCCTTTTACAACCTTCTATTTTTTTTTAAGAATAATACTTATTTTTCATTGATGTAACCTTATAAACAAACCTTTCTTTAAACTGCATCATGTGAAATTGGTTTGCGAAAAATGTAGTATCCCCTTGCCAAAATCATCATTTTAGTTAAGAAATAGATTTTAGTCTGAAAAAGATTTAAGTTTTCTCTATTTACAATGTTTGTATAATAAAGCAGTTACCCCTTTAATGTCCTACGTATTACTAAGAAATAATAATTTATGCATATTATCAATAATTTTCAGGGGTGGTTGGTCAAGAGCCAGTCTTGTTCCGAGGGTCAATATTTGATAATATTGCAATAGGTTTTCCAGAAGCAACCCGAGAAGAAGTTCAACATGTCGCTGAAATGGCTTATGCTCATGAGTTTATCACAAATTTGCCAAATGTCAGTACACATTTTAATATGATTAATTAAAAAATGACATAGTAAGGAATAACAATTTTCGAGTGCATTTTAGGGATATGATACAGTTATAGGAGAACGTGGTGCGTCATTATCTGGTGGTCAAAAACAGCGCATAGCGATTGCACGGTCGTTACTAAGAGAACCTGCTGTCTTACTTCTGGATGAGGCTACATCCGCTCTTGACCCACATTCTGAGCGACAAGTACAAGCCGCCCTCGATCGCGCTAGTGTCGGCCGTACTACTATTGCAGTATCTCATCGGTTAGCCATATCAATAATTACACTATGCATGATTGCATTGATTATTTTCGGCCCTCACCTTTGCTACTTTTTCCATTTTTACAGGCTATCTACTATTGTAAACTATGATAGGATCATTTGTATGGATCAAGGTGTAATAGTAGAAGAAGGTACACACGATGAACTTATGCAAAAGCAAGGTAATATGTGCATTTATTGAGTTTATCATTTACGGATTATTCGTTACAACTCTCTTAATGAATGTATTTTTTTATTTCAGGATTTTATTACAAGCTAGTAACAACAGGTAATGAAAATAAACCAGTAGAAGAAATTGAAACGTTACCAGAAGAAGGAGATGGCGACGAGAATAAAAGTGAACCAATTTTAGCCCCACGAAATGATGTGAGGCGAAAATCTACTAAACGATTGCACAGGCACCACTCAACTAAAAGAGGTTTGAGACAAAAGTTTACAGTAATATTAAGTAAATAGGTGTACTATTTGGCGGCAGAATTATAAATTATTCACATGTTTAGTTTTACGGTAAACACTGTGTACGAAAATTCAATCTAATGAGTGTCTGTTTCTAGCACTTTTTAAGAGAAATAATTTAGTTTTCCTCTGACTTATCCCCTGCGATAGCAAGACAAATCTTATATAGTCTTTAGGTTTATGAAACATGTTCATTAGTACATTCTTTCTAACCTTAGATACATAAATATTCAACTACTCTTGAGTCTTGAACTAAAACTGTATTATTTCCAGAATCTCACGACTGGATGACTCCGCGGGGATCAATCGCTTCTGTAATGTCCGCTGGACTGCAACACTTTGTGTACAATGCTGAATATGAATCAGATGAAGAAAAGGAAGAAGATGATGAAGTAAGCTATTTAATATGGGCGAATGAAAAGCTGAGCATTTTTTGAATAATAACTTTGGAATGTTTTAATTACAGCAGGTAAAGCCACTTAGCGATTGGGATATTTTAAAACTAAATGGACCCGAGTGGCCGCTTATCACGATTGGATCTATTGCAGCATTTATTCAGGGAGCCTGTTTTCCTGTATTTGCTCTGCTTTTTGGATTTTCTAGTGGGGTAAGTAATATCTGTTAACTGTCTACCGACTGAGATCGTCCGAATCTAATCTGTATTAGATACAGGAGGAATGTGCTGCCTTATTGAAATATTACACTAGTATTAAATAATGTTTTTTTTCTTAATAAAGTAATCAAACACTTTTTAGCGTATCTAATAACTTGCTTTTCCAATTGCAGATTTTCGTTTTACCAGATCGAAATCAAATTATATATTTGGCCGATCTGTACTCGGGTATGTTTGTCGTAGTGGCAGCTGTTGCTGGAATTTCCATGTGTCTTCAAGGCACTACATTCACTACTGCTGGATTAAGAATGACCACTCGTTTAAGGAAACAATATTTCTCAGCCTTGCTGTCACAGGTATGTAATTGTTTAAGTAAATGTTCCCATAATATTGTTATCCCTCTTCATAGCTAAAATGAATTGAATTACACGATGATGAGTAGTGGGTCATTATTATTGTTTCACCGATGTAACATAAATTTGAGGTATTCTGTACAATTATTAGTAGATAAAATTAACTTACAAGTCAAAACGCAACTTTCAAATTAAAACATTTATAAAAAAATTGAACTAATAATATTATGTACATTCCCAGTTACATACAAATCTTTATAGGCAGGTAGAATTAGCGGGAAAACCTGAAAAATCGGCAAATTCCTATTGGAGTGAAAAAATATTTAATGAAAGATTCAACTATTAGGAATTAATTGTAATAAAAATTATAACAAAATATTGTCAACTAAAGTGACACAAAAAATGTTAAAAATGGTAGAAGACAGTTTTTCGCGTCTGGAGCGAAACCTAAAGCTCCTACGAAAAAAGTTTAATGGAACAAATGTGTGCAATAAAAAAAACAAAGAGAATGAAACCCCGATAAGCAAAATCACACCATCAGATCGCCCGAAATTTGCAAAAAAACACGTTTCTTTTGCAAATTTGGCAAATTGACAACTTGCGTTCGGGAAGTGGTAGAGAATTACAGTTACTTATGCAGGTCAAAATGTTGTAAACTTTTTGCAAACCGTCGACTTTTTTTAAAAGTAACCTTTTCTGAATGAATTCTAATGAATTGGGAGGGGGTTGTAGTTTTTGAAAACCGTTATGATTTTAGCACCCATGTCACGGTATAATTATAATACAGTAGTGTAACTCGGCCGCATGATAGACATAAATGCCTACCGCCACGCGGTACGTAAACATGCGTTAGGGCTGCCCGTTGCCAGTATTTTAATTATATTTGCCTACTTTCTGTTTTCTATTTAGATTTGTGATTGTAAATATCCTTTTTATATAAATAAATGAAATACTTTGTATATTGAATAGGAAGTGTTCAATAAAAATGCGTGTTGTTTTGTGATTGGTAGATTTAATTATTTTATTTTCTTTCTGCATTGGAGGAGTTCAAGTTTCAATTTTCTTTTTCTTGGAGTGTTGCTAGAGAGACTCGTTGAGGTTTGAGCAAAGATTTCATTTGTTGCATTTTCAGTCTGTGTACTATTTTCATTTCCTACCAACGGAGCAGTTTGGGTTTGTTTATCTTCTTTTAGAGAGACTCTTGGATCAGTACTAGCTAAGCTTGGCAGCATCAACAATGGTAGGCCATTCTTTTTTAAAAGTTTTCTATTTGATGAATGTAAAACATCCTCCAAATTAAAATGTTTTTCAGAAACTTGGTAGGAACTAAAGTTAGGTTTGTTTTCCAAATCATCTCGCCGGATCAGTTGCAACCATTGAAGACGTCTGAAAAAAAAATACATGTGGCACTCTCAGAGACTGCCGCGGTAAAGCTATTGCATAACATTTTTTTTTTAAAGAAAAAAATCTGCGTGGTGACAGGTATTTTTCGTTAGGTTTTGAGAATTTCTTGATTCGGTCACCGAGCCGCGCCGCGCTCAGAGCCCGCGATAAAAGCTATGCAATAGCTTAAAAATCCTTCTATAGAATAAAAAAAATGTGCTTTCTCCTTACGCGTTACAAAACTCCAATCCTTAGAAACTCCAACACCTACCTACTCAATTAGAATGCAAGAAACAGCTGACGAGTAAGTAACTTTTTATCTCAGCTTATTAACGTCTCTATAAATTAGGTATCTACCTACAACTCGCAACAACTCAAAACAAAAATTCTTTGGTCAAAAAATTAATTAATTATTAAAAAGCTGAACAGCTGACTACGAATGTTTTAAAATCACAACCCTCAAACATCTAAATATTATATATGAGTCTAGCTGTTGTTGTTAATACCGAGAAAATAAAACCAGTTTTTAGTGGTATATGTTGTTATAGTAGCAGCAGAAACACTTTGTGAAAATTTCGAAAACTATCTAATGACACACAGACGGTAAAAAAAAAATTCTAGTATTATTCATACACACAGATAATAAACAAATATTATGAATAATAAAATACCACGTCTTTACTTTGAATTATGCAAACACACATGCACCGAAGTTTAAACACAAGCGTAAGTAGGTAGGTACCTACCGTATCATGATTCATTCAGAACCGCATATAACTACCTATTTCACCCGTCTCAATAACTTTCCGTTACTCTATTCGCTTTATTTATTAATCCAAACACCTTTTTTTTCGTGAGATAAAAGGAAATACTTATCCATTAAAAAGACACACATGTACGTACCTACTAGTAAGTAAAATTATTTTATAGTCTTACCTTTCAAAGTTTCTAGGTAATTTAAAAAAACTTATGTCTAGATGCGTTATTGACGAATTCATACATCCAAAAACAGCACAATATTTCCTACTCGTCATATTAACTGATTTTTAGAAAAAAAAATCGCGCGGTTACTGTTAAAAAAACAATACACCGTCCGTTCGACACTGCGGTACAGCCGTGACTGTCTGCGCCCCGAGCGCACCCCGAGATCGAGGCGCGTAGGTATAGCTCGCGTTTCGTCCGTTTGTATGAAGTTGGAGTACTGTATTATAATAATACCGTGCCCATGTATTAAGGAGTTTAACTACAAATATCCAATTTTTCAGATACATTTGTTTAAATAGTCTATTAAATAGTTTAAATAAAGAACAGGTATTTTGTTTCAATTTTTGTTGCAATCAATTCCAGATAGTAAAATGTTTAACAAAAAAAAACCTCTCCAATTGGAATTTTACGGACAACAAATCTAATTCTACCTGTCTATTATGGTGAATTGTGATAGTCGAAAAATGAATACACTCATTTTTACTCTTATAGATACATCCTTCTTAAAAATCGTATTTATCTGTCGACCTTGGCTGTGTTTCAACATCATTAAGCCCAGCATCATCAGCAGACACCACTGACCTAAGTTGTAATCACCTTTTACTTTTGTTTTTCAGGAAATTGGCTATTTTGATAAAGAATGCAACACAGTTGGAGCAATGTGCGCAAGGCTTAGTGGAGATACAGCTGAAGTTCAGGGAGCGACAGGTTTGAGAATAGGACTTATACTGCAAGGAATAAGTTCGTTAGTAGTCGGTTTCATTATGGCAATGTGCTATAACTGGAAACTTACCTTAGTTGGAACAGTTTTTCTCCCTTTGGTTAGTACAAACAAATTATTAAAAAACAAAACTTAAACTATGTTTAATAAATATTAATAGTTAAAATAAATATTTATCGTTTAAAATCGTTATAGATGGTTGGTAGTATTTGGCTAGAAGGAATAGTATCACAGAAATCGCAATCTGACGAACGCGCGGCTATGGAGTCGGCTACAGCCATTGCAACAGAAGCAGTTGTTAGCATAAAAACAGTGCAAAGTTTAGGTATGAATCCGAAATTATCTATACTTGAAGGAGTTTAAATTATGACTAACTACATGCTTTGAAATTTACTTTAGGTGTTGAAACAATATTCCTCAAAAAATTCGAGGACGCTTTGGTAGCAGCTTGCTCTGCTGTTATTAAAAAGACGCGCTGGCGAGGTTTGGTACTGGGTTTAGGCGTGTATGTACCATTTTTGGCTTACTGTAGCGCAACGGTGTATGGTGCTATTTTGGTTGCTGATGGAGAAATTGAATACAAGATTGTGCTACTGTAAGTATTATGGCAATTTGTAAGTTATCTATTGCATTTACATTAATACAAAATCAGCAAAACCTAGAGTACACACTTTGTTTCAAGGGTAAATGAAGCTATCATGTACGGAGCGTATATGTTAGGTCAGTCATTGGTGTATGCTCCGGGTTTCAACTCGGCTAAAGCGGCTGCAGCGAGGATCGTAACAATTATCAAGCGGATACCCAGAGTGAGAACAGAAGATGGTATTAGAGATAAAAAAGATTGGGTAAGATTTCTTGGCATATAACTTTCTAACACGAAACCTAAATCCTTTTTAAAGAAATGAGCTAGGTGAATGAATATCCCAGATTCCCTCCAACTTAACAAATGAAAGTGGGAAAGAGCTCGTTTCAGCCAGTGTTTTATTAAGGAAAAAAAGGAAAATGTACAGAAGGAAATCTCGTTTGAGTACAGCTTAATAACTAACCTAACAGTCAGTTAAGTCTTTTTCAATACTGTTTTCTTTTCAGGGACAAATTCACTAATAGATTGTATATGATTTGTATATTTAATAGACAAAAATATTAAAAACAAATATCTCACCTGGATTATGTTGCTCGTGTTTAATTTGCAGGTTGCCACCGGTAATTTCTCAATTAAAGATGTTGAATTCTGTTATCCCACCCGTCCACACCAAAGAGTGCTCAAGGGTATCGATTTAAAGGTAGAAGCTGGAAAAACTGTCGCCTTAGTCGGCTCTTCAGGTTGTGGCAAATCGACAGTGCTTCAATTAATGCAAAGATTCTACGATCCTGAAACTGGAAATATTGTACGTTCACATTACGCAATGCTAAATTATTTCAGAGTGTATGATTAAAATATTATCCAGATTATATTACTAACTACATTAAAACTATCGGGGGTTTTAAAATTATACGCAACAAATTCTGTCCTTTCAGTTGAGAGCAATAGCCTTGAGTGCTAACTATGAGGATATACTATAACAAAATTTATTTTTTATTGTTTCCATCATTGCATAAGTATTGGATTGATAAAGTATGAATATTGCACTACTTTTATTGGTGCAAAATATATAAATTGTTAGAGACTCTATCGTCAATTTCAAAATTATAAAACCGTCATACCATTTTAATGATTTTAGTGTGACTCGATAGCAATGATCTAAATATTACTGCTTAATATGAAATTGTACATACTCAATACTTGAAATACGAAGATCTTAAAACTCAGTCATAAGGCATGAGTTCAATTCCCACCTAGAACAAATATTGTATAATGAAGACGACAATTCATAGATAACCATCTATAGTGTATTTTGAAAAATATATGTATATAATAGTAATCAGCAGCCTAGATTGGGATTAGATAGGTATGTATAAGATGTTTCAAGTAATTATTGTTATTAATCCATTTATTTCTAAAAAATAGGCTTTAGACGGGCGCGACATCAGGACCTCTCTAACTCTGCCACGTCTTCGAAGACAGCTCGGTGTGGTACAACAAGAACCGGTGTTATTTGATAGAACGCTGGCCGAAAATATTGCATACGGTGATATTAATAGAAAAGTTACCATGATCGAGATTACAGCCGCTGCCAAAGCTGCCAACATCCACAGCTTTATAGTTTCCTTACCTGAAGTAAGTAATCATTTTTATTAGATATTTGATTGCAATGTTGCTGTTAACATATTTATGTTTTCTTTAAAACATCCTTGTTATTTTCGGATTCCATGCTATAAAGTAGACGACATTTTGCGTCTAGAAGAGTGAGCCTATCTGATTTAGAGTTAAAGAGATAATAACGTTTGTGTTATTACACCGTTATCTCAAACTTTAGTAAACTTTAGAACCCACTTTAATTGTATCTACTCCCAAAATTCTTGGCAATTATTTGAATAAGGTATTTATGTAGATTTCTGGTTATCGCGCAATCTTTTGTAGCATAAAAAAAAATCGAGTATTTCTTCAAATTATTGAATGTTTTGTTAGATTTAAAGAAGTTTAAAAAGTTAAGAATATATTTTTTACATTCCAGGGCTACAACACCAACTTAGGTGCTAGCGGTGCGCAGTTATCTGGTGGCCAGAAGCAGCGTGTATGTATAGCACGAGCTCTTATCAGATCCCCTCGACTACTTCTACTTGACGAAGCCACCTCGGCCTTGGATGCAAACAGTGAGCGAGTAAGTACTATTAGAATAGTATAATATGCGTAGTATAAAATAATGATTACAAAAGTAAGCTTCCAGTTTTACATTCAACCGTAACCGTCACCCGTTTTCATTGACCCAAGAGGCCTTTGAAAACTTAACTCTGATAGGAAACTACTAATTAAATATCTAATGCTTTTTGCTTAGTTAAGGTCTAGGCTAGACGTTTTTATTTTATCGAACATAATTATGTAATAATGGTAGAGAAGAATGATTTTTGCTATTTTAAACTTCACAGAAAAAACCGTCTTTTTTTAAGTATTGACAGTAATGTTTTAAGACTTTGCAGGTTAAACGTGATGTGTATTTTTATTTTATTTGGCACAATAGTCAGTTTTGCAATATGTTTAATATAATTGGAAATAAATGGCAGTAATTACTGCACAACCAACTTAATTATGAAAATTTGACAAACTGAGTCTTAAATACACCGTTGTTTCTGCTGTGCAAGTCTTATTCCAAATTGGTATAGATCCTAATAGATTGACAATGGTACGCTTAAAATTAGCGGCAGACAGTGAAAAGACGTCAACATTTTCAAATTAATTATTGTAAGCATTAACCAGCTGGAATATAGGGGCGCGTTGACCGGCGTTACTTCGACACGGCGTAGTACTGAATAGACGATCCGGCCTTATTGCGCCTCTTCGCACTGTGCGCACAATTTTTCAGTGTGATCAATACAATTATATTTGTTATGACACATATTGTATAAAGTTAGTGCTCCCAAAATCAGGCGTCTCTGCTGCAGCGTTGGAACATTATATTTGCTTTGAATGTGTGTATACGAAGGATACTAATGATAATATTTGCACTTTTTTGCACTTTCTCTTAAGTCTTTATTTATTTTATTATTGAGGTTGCATATTCTAACTGAGACCTAATGAGTGTGCTAAAAGTAGTCGGTCGATTAAAATTCTTACTGGACCTCATGACAAAATCATACATTTGCAGTGCTTTATTAATAATTTTTCGAACATGAATATCTAAAAATGTATCATCTAATTCTAATCCAACGTCTCGCCGTGAGTATCGCCTTTATTTAATGTACTATTACATAATTTATATTGAAATTTGAAAATGTTCCTTTTTTGTAAAATTATTATAATTGCACATTGGAAGACTTAAATGAAGTTTGTTAAATTGCCATTATTCAGTGAGACGGACCAGGTCCTGTTGTAGAAGCAAACAATTATTTCGTTGTTGATTACTTTATGGACCTTATGATCGTCAGCGTTAAATAGTTAAAATGTTGAAAGCATGTCGTTAATAAACAGGACAAATAACAAGGGGCCCAGAATTGATACAAACCTCTGACTGCAGTTAGATATATCTATGAGGCAAACCATCTTAATAAGTTACCTCTAATACCATTGAAAGCTATTTTGTTTAGGAGAAGCTCATGATCCAGTTTGTCGAAAGCCTTTCGAAAGTCCGTATATACGGCGTCTACTTGTCGTCTTCTATCCATATTTTCAAATAAAAAAATTCGTAAAAACCATCAAATTTTGGAGTGTAGAGCGGCTTTTAACGAAACCATGTTTTTCTTTGATATAATAGTAGAATGTAATAGGGGTGTAGCTCAATATGTACAAGCCTCTCGTAAACCTTCGACAAAGTGGACAGTAAGAAAATGGAGTGGTAATTGAAAATGTCATGCCTAGATCCATTTTTAAAGACAGGCAATTGCCATACTTCAGGAAACACACCTGTTGTGATACACTTGTTGTATATTATGCGTAGAGGCTTACAAATACTTAGCTAATATGTTTAAAAAAAAATAAGATGTATTTCATCAGGTCCTTTAGTAGGGGTAGGTTTATCCATATGTATATTGACATGACTGACTATGGGACTACTTTCATTATATGCTTCGGGGGAGGACCAGTCATTCACAACCCATGTTGACGGGTTGTAGACTGAGTAAAAAAATCTGCAAAATAGTTGCAGATATCGTGTGGAGTATTTGCTACCTAACCGTTAAGTCTGGTTTTGGGTGGCAGTAAAGATTTGTTTTTAAGGTTAGAAATGAATTGCCTGTTTCTGAAGTGAGCAAAACGTTCAGTCTGACTTATTGCCGTAAGTTTTCCATAACGTCCAAGCCTTTGATTTAGACACGTCTTTAAAAAGACGTGTTTTAAGGAAGGAATATAGGGGAAGTTTTAATTGAAACAGAACCTTGATTTTTTTTCTTATTTCATAATGTTTTCTCGTAGAACATATTAACTGCATTTTCAGCTGACTTTTCACCAATTGCCTTGTCCCAGTCAATGTCTTGAATCACGTTATTCACAGAAACGTAATCCGTCTTGTAAAAGTTATAAGTCGTCATTGGAAAACGCATCATATACGTTGTGTTAATATTAAATATAATATAATATGCTCGTAATATTTCCGACATCTGACACAATGCCATCTAGTTTCAAACTAAGCAGAGCTTGTACTATGAAAGTTAAATTGACTGATAGAATACTTATTTCTTTTTATAAATTCGTACATATTTTACATAGAAAACACTCAAACTCCGACAGAAATATTTGCAGATATAAACATTTGGTCCAACCCGGGATTTGAACCCCTCAGCAGAGCACAGTCGCATACCTACGCTACCACTGAATCGACTTTAGCTAAATATCCATTGGGGTCCAGTACCGAGCAGCCAACACTGGATATCAATATTGGACCAATAAACGAATTAATGAGTTAAACATATTATTGCATTGAGCTGAGTTGGTTTTAAACATAAAATTTGTTAGTTCCTGAGCCAAATCAGATGAGACGGTAGACTAGAGTTCGTTTACAATCCTAGATTTCTAGATTCTCATTCCATTTTAACTCAGGCGGGTTAAAGTCTCTAGCGATTAAAAAGTTATGTGTGTAAATAATTACATTTTAAAAATAAATCTAGATTTAAATTTTCGTTGTTACCTTTAATAAGTTTTGTATTGTATCTTTTTCCAGGCCGTGTCAGAAGCCTTGGAAAAAGCAGCTAAAGGCCGCACTTGTATTACGATTGCTCACCGTCTATCAACCATCAAAGATGCTGACCTTATTTGTGTTGTAGATAAAGGTAAATTTCTATTTGTTTAATAGTTCATAGTATTAATTCATAGATTGTTTAGTTAGTGTAAATCCCGAACATGTGCACAAAGAATTTAATTATTACCCACTTACAGTTTATTGTCATTTATCTCTTTACTATGTCTTTATCATAAGTACATTATACGTATACATTGTTTGTCTTTTGATATGTTCTGTTTAGGTTTACTCGAAATTACTCACTTATTGCGATGTTGGTTATCGACTGATACATTTTATAAGATGTGTACAAATCTAAGTTATCGAGTTGAGATAATTACATATTTACATTAGATACATTTAATATTTCAGGTAAAATCGTGGAACAAGGCTCTCACACCGAGTTAATCAGCCAACGAGGTCACTACTGGCGAATGTGTAAAGGACAGAAAATGCTATAATTAGCAACCTACTTGAATTTCTTTCAAATTATTGCTAAAATATGACAATAATTTACATATGAGCAATCGTTAAAAATGACGTGGGCTTATCTTTTCCCGTAGTGTACTCAAGCAGTTTAATGACAAGGATTTCTCCTGTAATTGACTAAAATGTAATCTCAAACATTGTTTTAATATACTTCTGTACATAACATAAATGCGTAAAATATTTAAAAAACCGCTGATAGAGTATTTTTGTTTTTAAGGAATATTAAAATGATGTAAAAACAAGCATTATAAGTATATGCTTTTAGATAATAATTATGTAAAATAATGTTAGTATATGTTCATATCTATTTCTATCGAAAAGATCGTGTAAGTAAGAGACAAGAGAATGACGGTGAAAAGAAAATTGAGTATTATTAAGTCAAATAAGGTTTGCCACAAACAATACCCTCAAGTCACATAACATATGAAAAGTATCATCACGTAAAAATGTAAAGCTATGGAATTTAAGTCCGTGGCACTTTTCAATAGTATTTTTTCCATTTTGTCGTAATCTTGTTATATTGTTATATTATATATATATATATATATATATCTGTCTCTGTGTACGCTTGTGTGCGACAAATAAAAGCAAGGAAAAGAGAATTCGAATTTCTTAAATGTTATATACCTATTTCTTAGCCTTAGATGGATTAACCGTGCGGATGCAAGGGTCTATCGTGTCATAGATGGGGGGTACCATATGCGCCTGAGAGTTGCGACCGGGGAGTAAGTTTAGGGAGTGCTCCTTACGACGCGTCAGCTCTCATCTCCACTATTTGCTGTGTTTACCGGCCTCTACTTAACCATATTTTATATGATCCTAACAATGCTGCTTTGGTTTCCGCCTTTCGTTCAAGAAAAAAGCTGACTGAAGCTCTTCACAAATCAAGGTCTCTAAGCAGGTTAAAGAGGGATTTAGCTGACATACCCGTCTCACTCACTTCCACGGCATACAACGCAACGAAATAGCCATTTCTAGTCATTTCGTTGGCTAGGTCAAAGTACCTTTTTTTTTAAAGCGTGGTTTTTGGTGATATTAGTTTCCCACGGTACCTTGAGTTTTTCACACAGTGTTCACTAATAACTTCCAGTCACTGGCAGTATTTATGACTGAGTATGCTTTTGTAAAGTATTTTTCGTTGAGCCTTCCTTTACAAACTGGCCGTTATTTGTTTTGTTTGTTGTTCCTCCCTTTTTGGCTGTCGCCAGTAATAAGTTAGTAACTTTGCAGATTATTTCTAGTACTCTATCTCGGCGACGTGAGTAATGACCTCGGTCTAAGAGCGCTTTACAACCTGTCAGTAAAATTCCTGGCTGTACACATTGCCGCAATGCACATCGTACAAGCCTTTTCTGTACTTTTTATCCACTTTACTAGGTTACTCTGATCGGGGAGGGTAAATTGATAGGTGTTGAGGTAAAATTGTAATAAGGCGGGTGACTAATCGTATAAAGTGTGCGCCATTTCAAAGATGGTAGGATTCAAAATTCACCTAAAATTAACCACTAATTCTGCGTTTCTAGGTTCATTGCGTGCACCTTGTAAGCTACGTTCTCATCTTGTTGAATGAAATATTTGGTTATGTCTTTGTCTACCTACCTTCTAATATTTTCCAATCTAACTGAATACTGGACTGCAAATCCACCACAAATATCCTAATTATTGTTTATTTCGAAGGGATTTAATTTCGTCTTGTGATTTTCACTAGACGAAATTAAATTGCATGCATTTTGGTAACTCTGAGGTGTTTACAGTCGACCAAAGGTCTTCTTAATTTAATTCTAAAGTTATTCGAGTTCCTGTATAATGTTGACGGGTCTGCAGATGGTGCTGGCTCAAGCCACGATTTCAATGTCTTAGTGACTTTCGTTTCCAGTGTTCTAAAGTGGCTCTGGTTTATATCGTATACCAGAAAAGGGCCGGTTATTTTAGAACGAATTTCTGTCTTTTTGAAGATTAAAAAAAGTTCTTTGTTTCCAATGTAGCTTATTAGGTATTTCCCAAATTACAAGTACTTCTGCTTCATCATCATCATCAACAGCCTTTAATAGTCCACTGCTGGACATAAGCCTCTCCTGAGAAAGGAGGTTTTTGCCTACTTCTTCTTATTTTGATATTATTATTTATTATTATATCTATCGATGGACCTGTTGGTCTAGAGGTTAGTGACCCTATCTGCTTAGCCGGAGGTCGTGGGTTCAATTTTCACCCACGATAAATATTAGTTTGCTTTTAATTATCAGCAGCAGTCTGGTTACCATAGCACAAGCCGTGTGTGAGATGTGTGAGGTTATTATTGTGATCTATTATCATTTCATTTTCAATTTATTGTAAACCACTGAGGCATATTTTTTAGTTATTGTACACAGGCCAATAATTGTCACGAAGGTAATATGATAAAGGTGTAGATGCACATGTTGAAAATAGAATAATCAACAGTCTTCATGAAATAAAGTATGGCAAGAATGTAAAAAAACTATAATCTTAACTGTTTTAAAGTTTCTTAATATCGTAAAATCAAATAGAACGACGATCTCTTATCTCTGCCATTTTCATGGTATCGAGTCGGCTGTTGGATTGTTCGTGTTCTACTGATGAAGTTGATTTGGTATTTGTTGAAAACTCGAAAAACGTAAATTATGAATTAATTCAGTTTATTATTAAAGGTGCGATGTGGTAATTTGATACACACACATACACACAAACTATAATAAGGTACTATAAGCATGTTCCTTTTTTAGGTTATGAATAAACATAAACATACTTATACACTCAGATATTTTCTTACAATTATGTTGTTCCTCATATAATGGATATAAGTGATTATGCATTTTGTATTTGTACTCTTGATTATAAGTATAAAATAATAACATAATGAGCAAATGTTAACATAAAAATTTTGCCAAAGCCATTGGTAAAACTTTTAACTTTTAACACATGACTAAGGTTTGTACTTTACTACTGTTGCAATGTACTTTACTATCAAATTTGCAATCCTAGTTGTGGTCACTGCAACTAAAAGCAAACAGTATTATTAGGATTTATGTCTTGACTAGTGACGTTAACGGTGATAAATGCCGACCGACGATTTCTGAACCGTTATTTTCTATTGTATATTGTAACAATTGCTTTATTTCTTAATAAAATATATTTTAAGCTAACATTTTTTTTTATTCTTTGATAAAAAAATTGAATATAGTTATTAAACTATTAGGCTCTAATTAATTTACCTAAAGGTTTTCTGCATTGCATGGGAAAATCACCAAACTTTATCACAATAATCCGTGTTTTTATTTGTATGTTATTACATAGCGTGTACAAGTTGATATAAGAATTTATCTACAAGATAAAGTTTACACGGATGAGAAAGCAATTCTATCTTATGGTCGGCAGAAACAGAATTTAAATGCAAAGTTTTATAAAAGTCAGATCTAACAAATATCTGTATATTTCTGATCTTTTCTTTTCTATTATTTGTTGTTCTAATGATAGTATTCACAAAATTAATAACATTTAGACTGTCCTAATCGCTCATGATAATCTTTTTAAAGTCCCCGAGCCTAGTCAACATCATTGTAACGATCAACAGTGAAAATTCAATTGTATATCACTGAAGAAACTTAAAACCTGAAGTCATTGGATACACATTGACAACAAAGAGGATTAATGCCAATCTTTGTCAACAGGAAGATAAAAATAGTGTCGGCAGCGACGCTGACAGGACCCAAATCTATAAACACAAAATTTTGATTTGTGTCCGCTTTAAAAACTCAAAAAGTTCTGCACCAATTGAACTGAAATTTTGACACGATATACAAACCGCTTCAAATATTGTTTTATCTATTATTCGCTTCACTTTTATTTTTTATTAATGCAATGACAATGTGTGTAAAATAATAAAAACAATAATTTCTACAGTAAAAATAACTTATTTGAAGATCATGGACTTTCCGGCAATAAATACCCGAAATACATTCTACAATGTATTTTATTCATAATATTGAATTTCTTCTTTGAGACTAATAAACCGCGTTCCGTATTGAAAATATTTGTTTTACAAATAACCAAATATTTGAAACTATTTGAAAGTTATAAGCGTATGAAAGTGGCATGTGTGTAGGTACACATGCAACTTTTATACTAACTAAATATAGCAACTAAACTATATTAGGTACCACGGGCCAACCCACAGTGCCACATAAGCCCGTTTTTTTTTGCGTGACGTAAAATTTGAAACCTTTCAATGAAGGAGTAGGGGGGTTCAAAGTAGTAGTAGTAAGTGTAGGTTCCAATGCAACACCGAAAGAAGTGAAGACTCAAGAAGTAAAATGGGCATACACCCTTTTAAACAGGGAAGCACCACGGTAACAAAATATTACGCGATCCTACGTACTATATTTGATTTCTATAATATGTATGGCAGAATCGCCTAAACGCATGGAAATTCACCCTAGTTGACACAAGATCCCCATAGTATACCGCCCCAGATGTCACCTGCAAGGTATTCAGCATTATATTACGTTCATTATACCAAAGACTACATTCCCAGAGGATATGATGAGCAGACTGTTCATAGTGAGAGTTAGGTGTTGAGCATTGACACAATGGTGACTCGACTAATTTAAATGAATAAAGCTTGCTCTTAAAGTTACCATGACCCGTAAGAAATTGAGCGACACAGTGATCCACCTCAAGCCATGTCCTCGACAACCGTTCGCGAACAGATGGAAAGAATTGGTAAAGATGGCGCCCCCTTGGATGATTCATCCCAGCGTTGTTGCCATTCGTCTATGAGCTCATTATAGACATCGGACTGCTGTTGAAGCAATCTTCAATCAATCAAATCGCATTCCATGTTTTGTTGTCTTGAATAGTACATGGCTGCACGTCTCTGCACCTCGAGATCGACCGGAAGCACACCCGCCAACACCGGCAAAGCCTCAGTGCTAACCGTACTATATGCCTTGCACAA